GCCCTTTGGGTGACTTCAGGCCTCACGGAAAAGAAGAAATATCAATGTGGGAAAATTTTCGAGAGTGGGGGGAGGGAGAAGAGTGTTTTCAAGATGTAAAAGAGAGACACAAAGGTCGAAAAGGTTGCCTGAAGTTTAAACAGGAACCGTGATTGGCTGAAGCTGGCAATGAGACGTAGTTTGGGATAATTATTTTAGCCGGAGAATACACTATTCTACAATCAATGATTTGGGGAACGACGGTCTCAACCCAGGAGAAGTATAAGGAGGAGAATTGGAGGTGGTGTTGGGGGGGGGGGGGTGGAAACAAGAAGAGATACTTAAAGAGAGGTGAATAAATCAGAAATTATGAAGAAGGCAGAAAACTGATAAAGGTGTGTCAAATCGCGATAACAGATAATGTACTGACCAATCAACATGGAGCTATCTAATATGGTATCTTAGGTGCAAAATCTCTATTCATGATCCATGTCAGAATCGGAGAATCTAAAAATGGATACCTATACGTTGCTCAGGTGCACCACGTGGAGGTAAGTCTATCGCACACCCCACAAAATCAATCATAATTTCTATGATTTTTCTGGAAACGATGATGAAACCTTGTTTGGCTATTAGCATCCATTTCATATTGTTCAACACTTCACCGAGTACTGTTGATGCCCTTTGGTAAATGTTTCATTCGGCCAACGAATATTCACATAATCTACTATGCCTGTTGTTGGTCTTTTTGGAGCTTGAAAACGTATCCCTATTGGACAAATCCCTTGCAAGTAGGGTAATTTGATTCGTCATGGGTTTACGCCCATCGAGGCAGTTAAACGCTAAATACGTCGTTATTCAACACATTGTATGAAGTAATGTTAAATTATAAATTTGAAGTCCATTTTTTCAGATCAAAAGATTCATTAGAAGGCCTCGATTAATGGGAGGAACCTTTTCTTATTGACTGAAAATCAACTGATGTTATTCTTTGAAAGGAACTTATTTCATTTATTAACTCAGAATGTCGCATCCATTTATATTTGCAGTCATAACAGCGACATGGATATCCTCTTTTGAATGCAAATTTATATATTTTTTTGCTATATTCCAGCGAGATCTTTTCCACAATTTGAATACGACATTGAGAATGTTCTCAAATTTTAATCAATAATGTAGCTGAATATTCAGGGCTTAAGTTAAAGATACAAATGTTTCGTCACTTCGCATTTCCATCAATACCAGAAATAAAAGTATACTTCGCATTAATGAAACATGTTTATCAGCAGACAAGGTATTTAGGTTAAATGTGTACGAATTTGCACAGAATTGAAAACAATTATTGAGGAAATAGTTCTGATTTAAAGAGACCGACAAACAAATAAGGATAATCAAACAAGCAATGAATAAGAAAACCATTTTGATAAATGTAATAATAAATTTAATAGACTAAAGTTGAATTGGATTTATTCATTAATAGGCATTCGCTGCCTAATTAAAATATAAACAACCTTTACTTGTTTGTAATGACTATATGCATTTTCCAAATTCCAAGCATATAAATACCCATACATTCGAGATTTCTTCATCCTCAATCGTAGGTACTCAATAATGTCAAAGGAAGAGTTATTCGGTAAAAAGAGTTATTATATGTGATTCACTTTTAGCTTCGGAATCTTTTATCCCTTTTGTGCAGCATTTGTATGCTCACTTGAAACCTTCTCGTAAGTATTAACAATCTTAGTATTGCCTTCACACAAAAAATAAATTTGAAATCATGTTCTGTTATATTGCCTAGATGAAAAAGAAAATCTATTCTTTTCGCCATTGAGCATCTACTCTAGTCTTGCCTTGGCTTTGTGTGGTGCAACTGAGCAAACTCATCACGGCATCGCGCACACCCTCTTTGTAAAAACTGCTCATCTACAGGACTACGCTTACACTCTACAGCACCTTGGCGACAGAATTAAGGAAATAAAGGCCAGTGACAAATTGGACACTCTTAAGCTGGCTAATGGCATTTTCTGTGATGCTGGATTCGAAGTCAATCCTCACTTCACGAAGGAAGTTCAGACTTACTTCCATGCTGAAGGGAAGCAGGTAGATTTTGCTTCAAACCACGAGAAATCAAGGCAAACCATTAACGAATGGGTTGAAATGCATACCGAAAAGAAGATTAAAGAACTACTGCCAAGTGATTCAATTGACAATAGCACACGACTTGTTTTGGCAAATGCCATATACTTCAAAGGTAGTCTCTCATCTGTGGTGTAATTTTATGACTTCACTTATGCAATCTAATTTGTAATGCAGGAACTTGGGAGAAGGTTTTTCACCGCGACTTAACTCACGAAGCACCTTTCCACACACTGGATGGAAAAGAGGTTACTGTGCCAATGATGAAGGACAATGGAGTGTACGAGGCATACGAATTCAATGAGATTAGTGCTACCTGTGTCAAAATTCCATTCAAGACGTAAGGTGTTGTCAAGGCCACACTAGCTTGTATCCCTACATATTATTTATTTTTTTGCCTTTCTTGATGTATTTTTAGTTGCCATATGCTAATCGTTTTGCCCAACGATAAGAAGGGTCTGCCATGTTTGTTGAAAGATCTTTTGAATATGCATCATCCTAGCCACTTTAATGCCCTCTTCAAATCCTCAAACTATCAAAAAAGTAGATATGACCTCATATTGCCCAAATTCAAACTTGGAGCCAATGGAAAATGTATGGATTTGAAGGGACCAGTCTCACAAATGGGAGCTGCACATATGTTTGATCAGAGTAAAGCCAAATTCGAGCGTATCACAACGAAGGAAAGGCTTTATGTTTCAGCGATGGTGCATAAAGCTATGATCGAGGTTAGTGTGTGCTAATAAAAGCCTTCTTAACTCGTTGTTTTGTTTTCAAAACGATACTTACAAATGACATTAATACTTTTACAAGTATCCACAAATTGATTGTTATTGGTAATTGTCAATATCGAATTGGTATGTATTGCATTGTAGGTGAATGAAGAGGGAGCCGAGGCAGCTGCAGCCACAGGAATGTCGATCATGCCAATGTCACTTGTGCCCTGTATTGCAGCCGATCATCCATTCCTCTTCTTTATTGTCACTGACAATGAATTCCCAGTATTTGCGGGTCATGTGATGAATCCACTGGAAGAATAATTGCCTGATGCAATTGCCAATTCGACTACCCAACTTGTTCTCATTTTTTAATTGCCAACTTTATTTGCTGCCATTGCTTCTATTTCAGATAAATCGATATTTCAAAGATGATTTTAAGCGATTAATAAAGTCTTCTTTTACTTCAAGCAAATGAGCTCATTTTCTAGCTTTTTGAATCACTCATTGAGCACAAATGTATTGGAATTTTAGAATAATCGGAAGAAGATAATGTGATTGCTTATATGTCAATCTCGTTGAAAGTGAACTGGTCTACCTAATTTGCGATCGATCCTTAGGAGTGAACTGCATTTGCCAAAATTGGTTGATTGTTGAAGGTGGGTGTTGTGCACGATTAACACCGTAGTTGCTCAAAAATTGGTGCATATTCTTCTCTTCAGACAAATTGCAAGCTCGTCGTTTTTAGAAGACGTTAGATTGACAGGGTGTGTGGAATTCGAGGGTTGTACAAGTTCATTTCTTAGCTCAAATGAAATTGTTGAAGAAGGTACTCTTTGATACCCAACCCCTCTTCAACCCCCTCAAAATATTTTTAAGTAATTGGAGTTTGAGATAATATTCCCCTTCTACTAATCAAAAATTATCTATGATTTGAACAAGTCGAAGCCTTCACAAGCTGACATTTCAGGTCGATACTAGTGATAACTCTAATGAAATAATGCCACCATCGATTACCAGATAGTTCTTATTCGGTGTCTGCAAACTGTCTTTGTTAGTTCCCAACTCTGCACTTCCCAATGCCTGAGCGAGCTAGTTCGGCGGAGATGAGTATTTTGGAAGACCATCATCAACATTGTTAATTATTTCAACCATGAAAGATTGCTCACAGCAAGGGCTTTTCTCGTGACTTTGTCATTTTTATCAGTGTTCGATTCCCTTAGTGCATATGTGCTTTATTAAACTATACGCTAACATATCTGATTTTTGGAAGTCACTCCATGTTTGAAGAGCGTACATGTTTGGTCCTGATTGCAGAAATTTCTCAACCAACCATCAGTCAATAGTAACTGCACGGTAAGATTAATTTAATTGTGCTTAAAGTCTAAACTCTGTTTCTTCTTCTGGATACGTTATGCTTAGCTCATCTAAGGCTAAAAACTGTTTAATGCAGAGATCATTGTTATTGCTTTGTAGCAGTTTATTTGAGCAGTATCCGCAGTACAGTTCACCTGAACATGGTCGTTCCGTTCCTCCTCTTGTTATTCTCCGTGTCGAACCACTTCCTTTGTCTTCTCTCGGAGCCAAAGATCCTGAAGTAAATACAATGGAAGCTTCTCTCACTCCTACAATGTTTGTGACCCACGAAAGAACTTCCAAGTACGAGGCATTCATGAGCAGAGAACACGGTTCTAACTTACCTTCTCACCTTTTCCAACTTATAGCGGCACAACGAAAATTGACATTGCTCTCTAGTCACCAGAAGGCAGTTGTTATGGCATACTCAAAAAAATTGTTGTCAGTTCTTCATTTGATTCCTTGGAGAACTGTCTGTAGCAACTACACCTCAGTTCCTATGCCACAAGCAATCCTTTGCTAGCATAAACGATGTGGAAGAATCCAATACCAAGCTGTTCTACACTTACTCAAGTGGACTCCACAAAGAACCCCCAAATCTCAAAGATGACTTCAATCCGCGGTAGGGAAATATTCCCTGAATTCTTACAGAACACATCATTGCCTCCAGCAATATAAAAATGAAGCATAAGTAGATGATTTCGATATCTACACCAGGAAATAAACAAGTTGTTTTAATCATTCATCCAAAACAGGAGCCAAAAATCACCATCTTCTGCAAAGGAGAACTGCAAGGAGCTAACATTGCTGGCTCCTTTACCTAATAACTTCATTAAATTAACCAGATAATAAATATAAATCCTACACAAACGGTTCAACCATTCTTGTTTACACCTTCACTAACTCTCACATCGTACAATATATTTTAAACTAAGAGTCATAAATGAACGACCCACCAGCTTACCAAAAACATCGCTCTCGAGGAAACTCGATGATAAGTCCATCGTTGTGCAGAATCCGTGGGATGAGACTATGGTTGTATGCAAACCTCAATCAGGAAATCAAGTAGTCGAACCACCACGAATGTGAACCCGAATTATGTGCGCACAAGGCCACCATCAAACTTCCTCCCAACTCTTACACATTAAAATAGTGTGCCACTGTAGATGAACGAAGAAGGAGCCGAAGCAGCCACAGCCACAGGAATTTCGATCGTGACAAAGACACGTGTGCCCTGTATTGATGCCGATCATCCATTCCTCTTTTTCATAGTCACTGACAATGGATTTCCAGTATTTGTGGGTCATGTGATCAATCCAATGGAAGGATAATTGCCTATAAAATTTCATTAAGCAAACTCTCTTATCCTCGTAATGTTGGATAATTTATGTCATAATCCAATCAATTAGAAAAAATTTAAATTTTTTCCTTATAAGTGTCTATTTTGAGCAATGTGGAAGAAAAATTATCTAATTTGCAAAGGATTTTAAAGACCACATTTGTATCTTTCTCAACGCCTTCCAATCCTGCGCATAGTTGCCAAATTCTGCTTTAATGCGCCTTGACTCTACTCAGTAATCTCTATGGCATATTCTTCTATCATTGCAAAGACTCCCAAAAGTAGATAAGCTAACGCAAAGCTATAGAGGAATCAGACATATCACGTTGAACACGCTTTTTTGGAATTGTGGGTAAGTTCTGTGTGCTCAGACTAGGAGCATAGTCGTTATATTAATATGGTGGGTTTGATAAACCAAACGAGGGGTGCGCGATAGACCTACCTGCACGTGATGCATCAAGGGTAATGTATACTCATGCGGCATAAAGTCCACCAATCGTCAGTTGACTTCTCACTTCAAACTACCATAACTCGACTCTATGCCATATTCGACTACTTCCACAGTACTCAACTCAAATCACCTCACCATTTTCTCTACCTTTGTGTCTCTAAATATCTTTAATTTCTGTCAATCACCCTTCTGTTCCCCATCTCAAATTTTGTGATTTCAATGTTCCTACCCACCGTGAAGCCCGAAGTCAAAAAAATGGCTTATTATATCAATCACGAAGTCTACTGTTGGCTAATAATTAGTATAATAAGTGAGGACAGTTGGTTGGTGGTTGGTTGTATGTTCTCCGCGTTCACCGCCGCTTTTAGTTCCTACGCCAAGTTGCAAGCCCGCACCTTCTAATCTGTCTGAGTGCATGTGACATTCCTTTGTTCAAAGATGATAAAATTCCATGCACTATATCATTCACTTTATCATGTAAATAAATTGAATATTTCAATTTCGTTTCACCTATTCCCCCTCAATTTGTCTCATTTTTAATTTAACGCGATATGTTAAGCACATTTTAATGCTGGCTTCACAGCAAAGAATAATTAAATGCACACCCTCAGACAATGTTTTTTTTCTTGTCTGTCAAAACTATCTCCACAGGTTTGAGTACCCAGGCAAAACACTTTTCTTCACTTTAAATAAAAACTTACAAAAGTTGCATTGTTTCGATTATTTTCCATCCAAACTTTTTATTTATTTACCGATTACGCATTTCCAACCTTCCACTTCCTCCTCTCTTAACTCCATGTACTTCAAATCAATTTATTTATAACAGGGGTGTAAGTGACTGATAACATTAAGCGATCGATCATTGAGCAACCTTGAGTCTAATTTTGAATTGGTGATTTGGGTCCTGTCGTATCATCGTGTTGTGGGAGTGCAGTTGTATCGAAGTAAACATTGGAGGCCACTTAAGAGTCTGTCACACCAGGCACCGTAACTAACCCATTTGGTCAATCTGCAGTGCATATCAGCAAATCATTCACATCCTCTTAGTTGCAATTTCGTTGTTAATAATGAGAGGTAATGAAGTAATTATAGAAACTGTTAAAATGTACTTAGAGGAGGATAATGGTATGAATTCTCTGTGGGAACCTTCCCGGTAAACTCGTTTTTAAGGCACCTACTCTTGTCTACAAGAATGCAAGGCATTCTAATTTAAGAAATTCGGGTACCTCGTTTGAATCTATTTCAGTAGTATCTATTTTACTGCAGTATAATAAATTGTTTAGAGACGTCCATGGACTATGAGGTATTTATCTGCAGCAATTTATCCTCTGAGCCTACTCTTTAACACTTATGTCGAGGCAAGCATTATTTCATATAATTTGGCAGAAAAATTTGTACTGCTGTTAATTTCTAAGTATACAATTACAAATTCGAATCTTTCCGAAAAATACATTTGTGGTTCAATTGAACTAAACGTCTTTAGCAGTTTTGTTAAACATTTCAGCTCAGAACTTCCTTCAAAATTACACGAAAGAATCCATATTTTCACTAATAATAACTTTAAGATACGGAAAAATATTTCTTTTTAGTCAAGTAGTATTGCTAACACTTTTACATGTGCTTCCATTTCTCTTCATCGAACAATGAGGAAGCTGTAACTCACTCGCGCTGAATTATACTGTCGGTGGCCTACCCCAACTGGAGGTGAACAGCGCTATCTTTGAAATCGAAATTTCTGCAAATGGATGCATTTCTTTATTCAGTCAATTAATATTTATTTCTAGGTAATAATTCTTTTCTTTTCTTCAGTGAAAGCATATTCGAGTCTTTTAGAGATTTCAACTAAAATAGAGTCTTGACAATAAACTTGATTCCTACATGATGGCATAGAAACTGGAAGAAATATCAAGGCTCAAGGGAAAAAAATTAAAAAGACATGTTTTTGCACTGACAACAACAGCTTTATCAGTTCCTCCTAAAATGGCTCAGAGACGCTGCCAAGTTACAACCTAACTGCCGTAACCCTTCACTCCTAGCAAGTCCACTTGATCCACAGGTTTGCGAAAAATCCACACGATGGTGGACAAATGGGGATTTGTCTCTGAGGTGTAACAAGTTCCTGGCAATGCATTTATTGAACGCGGTGCAAACCAAGGCTAAAATCACATTGTTTCAACG